AAAAAAAAAAAAAAAAAAAAAAAAAAAAAAAAAAAAAACAAATTATTCTGGTCTGACTGAATACCTTCATGTTTCTATAGTTTACGTTTGAATCGCTGTAATTTAATGGCTTCCACCTAAGCAGATAGCTGTAGCCAACTTAGTTGTATCATCTGCTTTTAAGGACCTAGTATGTGTGATCATTCCATCGTGGATGCAGAGAACTGCATGACATCCCCCCCCCCCCCTTAAACCGGGGAGCTCTTGGCTGTGAGAGACAATGAGTCACTTTTTTCAGTGGTGTAGCTGCTGCTATGGTGCCCATGTTCCAGTAAAAAAGCTCACACCCTTGCTCATATAAGCAGCCCTAATTATACTCAGTGACTCATTTTTTAAAAAGACGCCAAAGTCGGAGGGGACTTGTTGGGAAGAGGGAGTTCAGGGGAAGGGGGAGAGGGGGGAAGGGTGTGAATATAATCCAAATTCATAATATACATGTGTGAAATCAAGGGGAAAATAACAAAAGAAAAAAATGTAATCTGTCATGTATCTCCCTGCCTAGATTTAAAAGTAAAGGAAGCAACTGTATGTTGTTTTGTTTTGTTTTGTTTGTTTTGTTTTGTTTTGTTTTGTTTTGTTTTGTTTCCACATATATCTTGACATAAACCTGAGCCTCCCGCCTGATGACGTCCTGTTGCTGCGATGTAGAGCTCAGGCCTGTTGCTCTGAACAGCACAGTATAAACACCACCTCATCAGGTTTAGTCACTTTCCTGCCTCCCTGTGGAGGGGACAGAACTCAAACATCTTCTATCCCAGCAGAAAGGGGACATTCCCTAGAAAACTAACAGAACGCTGCTGCCACTGTGGGAGAGTCTGTTGAGGTTGTTAAAAAAAAAATGTAGCTTTCCCAACCAAGTGTCAAGCATGTAATATAGAAAAGAGTCTCTCTTTCTGTTCAGACGTTCAGAAACTTCTACAGAGGATCTGATTCACATTCCTAATGACTTTATTCAATGAGCTTTTCCAACCAAGTGTCAGGCATGTAATATAGAAAAGAGTCTCTCTTTCTGTTCAGAAAGTTCAAAAACTGCCTACAGAAGGATCTGATTTACATTCCTAATGACTGTATTCAATGAGCTTTCACAAATAAAGTTAGTTAACAGGGAATTAGCCGAATCTTCTCAAAGCTGATGCCGTGAACTGGAACACTTTCCTGCGATGACGCATTCTGTGCTGACCAGTTTCCTTTTGCTGTTTGAACTCCATTTCTACAGTGTTTTGTAATACTTTCCAATCTAAGCAAAGTCCATCTGGAATCTGACGATCACTTCTTACCTCCCAGGATTTGTGACAGGAAACATGAGGACCGGGGACATCTGTAATGGAACTTGACAAGCTTCTGCACAAACTCCTTTTTCTAGACTCTTGGTACATCAGGTCATTATGCACGCTTCTGTCGGAGCTTGGTGACAGATGAGGAAAGAGTACATGTTAGTGATTCACAAGGCTACTAGAGTGACTAAGGAATCATATCCTTTACCTCATAAATCATAAACAAGCAGCCAGTCAACAGTCTGTTCTTGAGAGTACGAATCACTGAGAGTCTTGGCCATGTAGCCAGCCTTGTGTTGAAGGACCAGGACTCTCTCCTGTGGCTTCCTTTGTTACTGTCCTAGGTTGTTTCTTCACTTTAACTAAAAACAAATGAAAAAGAAATTGCATACTTTTTAGAATATTGTGTCTTAAGTTTAAGTTAAAAAATAATTTACTTTTAATGCATTTTTAACAAATAAGAAAAATAAGGTAATAAATATCCTTAAGTTAGGGAAAGCCTATCTACTGAATCCACAGTAGGAATGTGCTGTAGCTGAAGAAAATGAAGGAAGAGGGAAAATGCTTACCTGTGTAAATATATTAATTGCGTGGAGACCGAGGCAGGGACCAGCAGGGTCTCCTTCCACGTTCTGAGCTGGAAAATGATATCTCTTCTTGATTACACCATGTAACAGAACTGGCCATGAGAAAAGAGGAAAAAATGTGGAATGAGCTTAAAAGGTGGTTTAGCAAATTGTCATATTTTACAGTTATATGACCATTAGCATAGAAAGAATCATCAAGGTACCAAAATTAATAGGAAAGTTCAGTCAGAATGCTGGCACCAAATTGGCATTCAAAAGCTAACAGCTGTTCTCTACAGCAGTCATAGCAACAAACTGTAGAGAGAGACAAATTATCTACACAGACAACAAAGTGAAAACTCTAGGAAGTAACCCACCAAACACATAAGACCGCCATCAGTAAAACTTAAGCTTCTATTAAAGTTTTTAAATACGAACCTACATAATTGAAGAGATATACTTAAGAGAGTATGTTAGAGTCTATTTATAAGATTGATGCAGTGCTGTGTAAAGTCCTGGGAGGATTTGGACAGGTTTTCTGCAGTTTAGAAGACTCAGCCCTCATGAGACTAAAGATATGAAATGGGTAAGGAAGCAGGGATTTTTAGCCATATTACAAAGCTTTACTAATTTTATATTCTAGTACTCATGACTTGGTACCAATTGAGCATAACCTAACCCAGAATTCTAAAAGCTCCATACTCTGAACACTTTTGCATTTTGAGTCTGGCCTCACTATATAGCCCAGGCTTGCCTCAAGCTTGAAGCCCTCTTGCTTCAGCCTCTTGAGTTCCAGGAGTGTATGGATCAACTACCACACCTGGCTGGTTTCTGAAAGTTTTTTAATACCAATGATGTTGCTCAAAAATTCCAGTATTTAGAACCTTTGAATTCTGAATTTTCAGATAATGGATGCTTAAGTAAAATATACTCAAATATTCTCAAAACTGACAAATTCTAAAATCTGGGTAATCCTCCTAGCCTCAAGATGTCAGGAGGAGACACTCACCCCATATATAACAAATGTTGTATAGAGAATAGCATCCAGACAAAGTCCCTTATCAGACCACACAGGAGCCAACAGAACATTCCAGTCAGGAGTGAGAGGAGGAGAAAAGTACTCTGATCCCCTTCCTCATCCTTCACATAAAATTAACCCCTGAAGGGATTACAGACCTGAAAATAAACCCACACCTGTAATGTTTATTGAAAAAAAGTTTGAAAATATTTTTGTAACCGTGGTGGTCTGAATGAGAATGACCCTCATAGGTTCATATATTTGAACGCTTGGTCCACAGCTGCTGGAACTGTTTGGGAAGGATTAAGAGGTGTGGCCTTGTTAGAGGAAGTGTGTCACTGCAGGGGGGCTTTGAGGTTTCAAGAGCCAAAGCCGTTCCCTGTTAGCCCTCTGTGTCCTCCTCGCTACCATGCTTTCCACCATGATGATCCTGGACTCGAACTTAACTATCAGCCCCCAATACACTCTTCTATAAATTGTCATGGTCATGGTGTCTCTTCACATCAATAGAAAAGTGGCTAAGACAGTAACCTCACTGGAAGGAGAAGAAGCAGAAATACGGAGCTGGGGAGATAGCTCAGTCAGTGAAGTGCTTGCCTCAAAGTCGTAAGGACCCAAGTTCAGTTCTCAGAAGCTATGTTCTTAAAAAGCCAGGCTTGGTGGCACGTGTTTGTAATGCCTGTGGGAGATAGGGGGTGGAGTCGGGAGGGACCACAGGGCTTGCTGGCCAGCCACTCCAGCCAAATCAGGGAGCACCAGGTTCAGTGAGAGAACCTGTCTCAAAAAATAGGGTTTAAAGAGAGCCAGTCCAGTAAGATGCTCAACATCGACCTCTACCCTGCACACACACACACACACACACACACACACACACACACACACACACACACATGCACACAGAACTAAATAAATACCTACCCTTTGGAAAATCCATCCATAGAGAATCTACCTGGGAAAGAGTCTGTGGTTAGCCCTAGAAGTGAACATATTTATCTCTCAGTCTCCTCAGAGAAAGCTAGAAAATACTCTTTTAGAAAAAAATAAATACAAAGCAAAACTAGTAACCCAGGCATGGTGGTACATACCTTTAATCCCAGCACTTGGGAGTCAGAAGCAAATGAATGAATGAATGAATGAATGAATGAAAACTGATGGTTTTTTTAATTAATTTATTTTTTTAAAAAAGGTGTGTTTTTTTTTTTCATTTTACATACCAATCCCAGTTCCCCCTCCCTCCCCTTCTCCTGACCCACCCCCACTCCCCCATCTACTCCTCAAGAGTAATAAGGCCTCCCTTGGGGGGGTCAACAAAGTCTGGCACACTAAGTTGAGGCAGGACCGAGCCCCTCCCCCCTGTGTCAAGGCTGAGCAAGGTGTCTCACCCTAGGGAGTGTGTTCCAAAAAGGCCATTTCATACACCCAGGATAAGTCCTGGTCCCACTGCCAGGAACTCTGCAAACAGATCTAAAGCTAGTCATTTTAAACCTTTATTTATAGACTGGCTTCATGTTTCAGATATACTGAAAGCAATAAGTAAGTTTTTATGTCCTCACCCTCTCCTACCAAAAAAAAACCTGAGAAAATTCCTATGAAATTGATTTTTTAATTAGCCTTCAATGTAGTAATACTAGTAATGATGGTAGGTAAATTAGAATTACTTTAACTGTAGAGAAAATATCTTATTATAGACCTTAGGATAGTTTTCAGATTGTGACAACTGACCATTAAAGAGCCAATTCTGGATCATGTCAAAGGGCACTCATAATAAGGAAATGGTATTTTCTTTGCAAAAATGTATTAAGTTCCCAAGCTGGGCTCACAGGTTCTATAGCATTTTCCTACTTCCTTTTATCTAGTGAGTGAATAAAACACTTGCAAGAGCAGTTCACTGCAGATGCCATTTGAATCACAGTTGTTCCATTCTCTTTCAGGAACCAAAGGTAAAGCCTCTAAATTCCTTGTCAAATAAATGGGGCTCATATTTTACTGACTCAGTCTCGAGACGAGGGGATGCAGAAGACTCCTTGGTTTCTACGTGGTCCGCTAGGCGAATCAGCACCTACAGCACGATTGCGATTCCAAGCATCGAAGCGATTGCAGGTAATGGAGGAATACCTGGGAGGCCGCCTGTCCAAGACAGTAACTCTCACGGTGTTGTCTTAAAAGTAGGAGTCTTCTCAAGACATTGTTACTTTGTTCCTTTACTTTTGAGATTAGAATTTAATTACATCATTTCTCACTTCCATTTCCTCTCTTCAAATCCTATCATATACCTCTCCTTGTTCTCTTTCAAATTCATGGCTTCTTTTTTCATTAATTGGTACATACATATGTGTGTGTGTGTGTGTGTGTGTGTGTGTGTGTGTGTGTGTGTGTGTGTGTGGGTTCCTAAATAGATCCTGCTCTGTGTGTATAATGAGTTTGTTGTTGTTGTTGTTTGTTTGTTTTGTTTTGTTTTAGGGAAAAGAGCTTCTAGATATGGCAGCCTGGGCTAGGGGACAAGGGGACACACACACACACACACACACCTTTCTGGAGCCAACAACAAAGGCTAGACACTGTTTGGAGAAATGGGATACAGGTTGGGAGAATTACCAGGACAAGATGCTTAGGAAGCCCAGTCAGATGAACCTGGCTTTGGGACTGCTTTCCCCCAAAGAGTCCACTGATGTTGAGTGAACCTTTCAGTAACTCATGTAACTTCTCAGATAGGAACTAGAAGAGATAACAGGCCTGGTGAGCTCCTTCGGTCTCTGTTGTAAGGATGAATTAAGGTGAAGCCCACATTTTCACAGGGGCTGACTAGCAAAAAATCACGGTCCATCAATGGTTAATGCCTCCACATACTTGGTGGAAATGAGTACCCATTCACATTATTCTGGGTCTCAAATACTTCCTTAAAACAAGTCATATAATGTATAGCCCAGAGTGAATAATTGCCAGGAATATGAGGCTCAAAACCACAAAAATAATAACAAAAGCAGCCAACTGCAGAAAACAAAGGAATGAGATATTTTGTAAAATGTAACTCAGAGAATGGAAATTTTTAATCAAGTCTTTCCAAATCAAAATTGATTTGTAGTGCATAGACTTCACAGCTGATTAGACACAGTACAAACAAAGTGAAATAGTTCAAAGGTGATGTGCAGTGGCTGGCAGCTGAGCTGTGTGTCAGAGACAGCAGGCCAGACAAAGCTGAAAGGAGCCAGGTGTCATGGCTGGGGAAGGGAGAGAGAGGTGGATCTTATCTGTTCTGATGTTGGAGACACTTCCTCACAATGTAACACAGTAATCACGTTCTTAGGAATGAGTTATGTCTCCTACAGAACCCTGGCTTGATTCTGTCAGTGACAGACTCCACTGCGTTGCTTACCTCAGCATAAGAAAGGCAGCTCGAAGAAGAAGTGTGATGGTCATGGCTGTGCACATCCGAAAGATAAAATCGAAAGGACTCAAGTCCTGCTGATTTCTGTTGACGTCCCAAGAGCTGTTCTGTTTCTGTGTTATTTTACAGTGTAGGAATATATTCATTTTGGTTCACTCCATTTAATTGTTCCAGAGTTGGGATAACATGGCTGATATGGTGTACTCATGACAGAATTGAAGAGAAAACTGCACGATATGCCAGCATCAGGAGAAGGGAGCCTTTTCTATTCTGTTCTGAGTAGTCAGCCGCCATCAGCGACCTCCTGCAACAGAGCTGTGGCTGCATTCTTCTCGCTGACTCCATGGGCTCCGGAATCCCGAGTTTGACAGTGTTTTTGACCTTAGTTTGCCTATTCTATATCCAGATGCATGTGTGTGTGTGTGTGTGTGTGTTGTGTGTGTGTGTCTGTCTGTCTGTCTGTCTGTGTCTGCATGCGTATGTGTATGTGTGTTTCTTCAGGCAACATCCACCTTTCCCTTTCACAGGGCTAAAACTCACCAAGTAACCACATAGGGTAGGCTAGCAAGCTGGTCAGCAAGCTAGCAGTTGTCTATACCCGCCTCCCCAACAGTGGAATTTACAACCATGCACTGCTGCCCCCAGTTCTTAAATGTGGGTTCTGGGGATCCAACTCAGAGCCACCTCCCAAGCCTCAGGTTTATTTTTTTAATTTCTATTATTCATAGTGAGGTGTGTATAACAATATGTACACACGTGTGAATGAGTCCCATAGAGGCCAGAAGAGGGCTTTAGACACCATGGAGCTGGAGACATAGGTGTTGGTGAGCTGCCGGGATCCGAACTCTGATCCTCTCGATGAACCAGCAAGCACTGTTAACCCCTGAGTCATCTCTCCAGCTCCCTATTGTCTTTTCTTTTTCTACTTTTTTTAGGATTTATTTTTATTACTTTAAATTGTGTGTGTCTGTGTCTATCTGTGTCTCTGTTGGTATACACACTGGAATGCAGGTGTCCACACAGGCATCAGATCCCCTTGGAGCTGCAGTTACAGTCAGTGTGAGCCAGCTGATGTGGGTTCTGGAAAGGGGAGCCCAGGGATAGACAGCTCTCTAGCTTGCTGACCAGCAAGCCTTGGGTCCTCTGTGAGAGCAATACATGTTCTTATCCACTGAGCTACCGCTCCAACCAACCCCACTTTTTAAGGTGTTTGGGGGGCAGGGCATGGAGGCCAGAAGAGGCATCAATCCCTGAAACTGGCGTCACAGGTGTTCGTGAATGTGGGTGCTGGGAACCAAATTCCAATCCTCAGGAAGAGCGGCAAGTGCTTTTAACTGTGGAGCCATTTTACCAGCCTCTCTCTATATATTTTTTTTAGATTTAGTTATTTATTTATTATGTATACAGTGTTCTGCCTACATGTATGCCTGTTTGCCAGAAGAGGGTACCAGATCTCATAGATGGTTGTAAGCCACCATGTGGGTACGGGAATTGAACTCAGGACCTCTGGAAGAGCAGCCAGTGCTCTTAACCTCTGAGCCATCTCTCAGCCCAAGCCCCATATTTCTTAATAATAACAAATCTTTGTTGTTCCCTGAAACAGCATTGCTGTTGCATGTTAATGTCATTCATATTTAAACACCCAGAATCCAGGGTATCTGATGCTTTCTAATGCTAAATGTTTTCCTTTTTACAATATCCGTGACTTTCTCTGGCATCAAGAAAGCAATATAACCCCCTTCCTATCCAACAGTAGTTTTTTTCTCATAGAGATTAACTGCTTGAGTCTTAATGCCTCTCAGTGACACCTAATAAAAAGTGTAATTTGGGCAGAGTTCTGGGGATTGTGTATAGTATATATAAATGCAGTTTGGCATACATCATGTTGCAAATTTTATATATTTACTCTATACTCTGTATCCCTGGTGCCATCCTTTCTGTAGCACAAGTATCAAAATTACTGATAAAATAGAAACACTGATTTTTTTTTTTCTTTTGGTTTTTGGGGTTTTGGGTTTTTTTTTTTTTTTTTTTTTTTTGACACTATAATATAATTACATCATTTTCCCTTCCCTTTCCTCCTTCCAAGTCCTCCCATATATTCCTTCTTCCTCTTTCATATTCATGCCCTCTTTTCTCATTAATGCTGTTACATGAATACACACACACACACACACACACACACACACACACACATTCTTAAATACATAAATACAGACTACTCGGTATGTATAATGCTACTTGTGTGTACCTGTTTTCAAGGTTAACCATTTGGCACTAGGTAATCAATGATGTGCTCTTCCCTGGTGAAGACTGTGCCTCCCACTCCCAGCATTCCTCAGTTATCTGTAGTTCTTTGTGTGGAAGCTTCATGGTCATTTCCCCACCCACTTGAATCTGACTATTATTGTTGTCCTTGTTCTGATCATGAAACACTGCATTTTAATCTAATTATATTTATGAAAGGAGTTTGGTAAATAACAAAACAATCATTTTTTTTCCTTCCCTCCCTCACAGAGTTACCCCTGGACTACAAATTTACAAGATTCTCTACAAACAATTCAAAAACAGCTGGTTACTATCCATTGGTCCATTAAGACTTGGGTTCTCAAGATACAGACAGCAAAATAATATTTACTGAAAAATGAACCAACTATATGTGCAGCAGACACACTGTTAAAAAAAGTTAATTTTCAAAAAATGCAAATGATTTATAGGAACAGTTTTTCAGTGAAAATTGACCAAATGGGTACTTGTTAATCTGTTTTTTTAAAATATATATAATTTTATATAAATAATTTTAATATTTAGCAGTTCTTGTTATAGTAAAATTTTTAGTACCCTAAACTGAACAAGAATATGTTTAATATTTTCTATACTAGTAGTTTTGAGGATTCTCCCAAGATGATAACAAACACCTATGCAAGAGTATATTTATAAGTCTGCCTAGTCCAGCATTTTCCAAAGCCTGGTCCACAGACTGATAGCAGAGCAACATAGAACTTGAAAATGCAGATTTGAATGCCTTGTTCCAAACCTCCTGAATCAGACACTTTGGGAGTAGGGCCCAGCAATGGCTTTTAAACAAGCCTTCCAATGAATGTGATTCTCAATTGTGATTTGAGACCTAGTGAATAAACTCTGTGCTCCAAAAATAGATTTGTATAGTTAAATACAGGTGAATATTCATATCTTTGATATGTCCATTTCAAAAAGTATAACCAGAATTGATAGCCAACACCAGAGTCTAATGAAACTCAGTCCTTTTTCCAAGCTACCAAGCTTTTTTCTATTTCTTCTTTTCCCAAAATACATAAAGAGACATGATTTCTTGAGATGATATAGCCTTACTCCTTAGTATTAATTTCCCCCCTTAGGAAGAAGTTAGATTTATACCTGTTAAACTGAGTTCCAGGTTTGTCCTGGGGAAGAGAGGAAGAAATGGCTGAAGGCAGCACTATTCAGAGCTGTATCAGTCCAGTGCAGCTCAGGTAGGTGTGTCCTGGGCGGTTCCCTGAGCTGTGTGAGTAGCATTTGCATCAGATCATGTGCACACAGGATGTTTGCCTTCAGTTGATGGAAGTTCCTGGGTCCTCTTTTGCCTGTTAACTTCACTGTCCATAATAGACAAGACTAGAAAACATCATTTTTTGTGGAATTTAGCTTATTAACATATGCACTGAAAAACTATTTTCTTAAAATGTGTAAATGTTCAGATAAATCCCAAGTGTACTATGAGGGTGTTTCTCAGGGTAATTAAAAGGATAACATTTTTCCTTATCTGTATCTTTGATGCTGATCAATAAGTTTACATAAACAGTGATGTATTTGATCTCCAAAATGTCGTTGGAGTGTTTGTTATGCTGAGCACGCACAATCCAGCTTAGGGCCAAATAAAAGATGGTATCTATTGTATGCTTTAGTAGAGGTTTCACTTTGCTTTAAAATAAAACTATTTTTCCCTATGGGTGTTTCTTGTGTTAGTGAAAAGAAAGCTTTTTTTTTTTTAACGTGTGTGTGTGTGTGAGTGTGTGTGTGTGTGTGTGTGTGTGTGTTTGCGCACGCACAAGAGAGAGAGAGCGCGCGCTTTCTCTCTACCATGTGTGTCCCAGGGATTAAAATCAGGTCATCACACTTGGAGCAAAGTGCAGTTACCCACTGAGCCTTCTTGTGGCCCAAGACTGTGTGTTTCAATGCTCATAAGAATTGAGAAGCCCAAATTTTAAAAATAAATTGTAATTGTACTTTTTTTTTGACCACTGAAGAGTTGGGGGGGGGGAGTAACTTCAAGTGCTTTCCTGGTTCCCACCTGAAGACCTTGACTGAGGCGCCACCTCCTATGACCTCACCCTTTCCGTCTAGAAGAGTCGGAGTCTAGAGCACTTCCCCTGGTCTCACCTGCTGCCTTGTCACTGCTGACCCTCGTGAATGCTTCTTCACTAAGCGACCCTTCAATTTTATTTCATGGTTCATAAAAAGTACCAGTGTTTCTCGCTGGAAAAGGAAGGTGAACATGGGGCTAACAGGATGGTTTTGTGGATAACAATGCTCATTGCCCGAATCCAATGACCTGAAACCCACATAAAGGTGGAAAGAACGAGCTGGCCCCACTGACTTGTTCTCTGACCTCTACACACATGCCGCGCCATACTCGTGTCCAAAGACACACGATGATAAAAAATTAAGCTTTAAAATAGCAAAAACAAGAAAAAAATTAGTATCATAAAAATTAAGAAGAGAGAGCTGGAGAGGTGCATGGCTCAGCATTTAAGAGTACTTGCTGCTTTTGCAGAAGACGTGGGCAGCTCACAGCTGTCTGTAACACCAGTTCCAAAAAATCTGAAACCCTCTTCTGGCCTCCTGGTCTCTATAGGCACCAGGCACCCATATATAAGACGAATAAGCCTTTTTTTTTTTTTTT